AAAAATAATTAACGTGATCTAAAGTGTCCATTCGTTAATTAGAATATAAAAATTGAAAATGTTTAATGTTTTTCCCCAAACAATGTGTACAATCCAATCGTTGCGAGTGGTGTTTTACAGAAACACGAGAGGTAGCCTTAGCCTTACAACCCTTAGATCCAGATTGATGATCTTTTGTGGATGTCTACCGACATTAGCACTACCTCTCTGAAGAAATATTGGATTGCTTTTTGCTTTTGGCTTATCATTTATTACTCCTGTTATTTCGTTGATTCAATAAATGGTTCATCAAATTTGTATTAGATCCATACTGGTTAGGAAATTGTGGACTGTGTAGTGAGGTTTTGTAGTAATTGTGTTTGTAAAATAACTAACTATGGGTTTCATAACAGCTTAAAATATTGCGATTATATTTTAGTAATGAAGTGCGTCGTATGGTAAAAGCCCAAATGAATTAACACACATCTAGATAAAGTAAACTTTGGTCGAAATATCAAAAAGATAAAAAAACCGCCAGGCGTTAGAAAGCTTTTGTCAAGAAATGAAACCTATATGAAACAGTAGTAAAGAATGATAGGAAGACATAGTATTGAAAAACTGAAAATTTTACTAAACATTTTTATACAGGGTGGTCCAAAAAACGTACAAATTTTAACATAATACATTTTTAAAAAAAATTTTAACTACATGGTAACATTTACATATGTACAGATGAAAGGTTGTTGATGTAAATGTTACCATGCAGTTATAAATTTGTAAATAAAAATTCTTGTTAAAATGTGTCAGTTCTATATTTGGGCCATCCTGTATAATATTAGGCAACGAATTTTATCAAAGATCGTTCCGTATTACTATTTTTAATCTGCAATAAATATATACGTGTAAGTTTACATTGTAAATTTATTTCTTCAGAAAGTATGAAATATTTTAGGTAGATGCCTATTTAGTTTTTTCTTAATGCGTGATGTTAGTCGTGCGTATATCGTTATCTTATGTTATCTTTTACGATCCTACCAATAAATAATGTCTTTAACTACTGTATCTGAGGATGCAATGATCCAATGGTTCTGAGACCTCTCTTAACTGTAGAACCACCAACTAAAGGGAAAGACTACAAATATAATATATTAATATTTTTGATAATATATTTTTTGTATAAGATATCAATTATATCACAACTACTGAAAAATATCATACGATAATTCATTAGGCTGATATAGAAGACTTGTATTCAATTCAAACAAAAATGAATATATATATTGGAATTTTTAAAATCTTTTTCAAGGAAAAATTTACAATAAATTCTGTAGGGGTATAAGCTTATATTACTTGTTAAATCACAGTAATTTCACTTACGTGTTAGCAGCTCTGTATTAATATTGAAGTATAATTTCTCTGTATATTCTTGTACTCGTATGATGGCAGGCAACGTTCAGATGAAGCTCATTGTACATTCCGACTGTGAGGCAGGATTATACATGCCCGACTTGTGTTGCGTATGTCAGCTGGAGTTTTATTTTGGTGAAAACAAGTAAGCCCCTGACACAAAATAGTAAATGTTTGGTAAACTTTATGTCTTAAGTTAAATGTTTCATAAAATTATGGGATTTTTGTCACGCTATAACATGTTTTTATATCTATGTTATAAGCTTTCTATATCACATAACCCATTATATAATCCTAATTTTTCCCACTATGTGGAAGTGATTTTTTTTACTCCCTCTACAAATAAACCACTATATACTAGTTTTGCAAATGTTTACAAAGGTTGTTTTTTTATATTTTTCTATCACCCTAAGTAAAATTTCAGTTTTGATGGTATTTTTCTGGAGACCCAAACCTGACCCTAAATACTGCAATAATAGTTAGTTCATGATGAGGTAATCCTTTGAGAAAATTTTTCAACACAAAATTTTCCTGGAATTATTTGTCATGTACAAAGCAGCTTTTCCCATCTGGAGTGCATAAAGTACAACGTACACATGAAGCACAAAGCATCTTCCATAAGCTCTTCAAATAGCGGGGTATTCTCGGTAATACTACTCAGACAGCTGCACTTCCATACTCATAACGTCATTATAACGTTATGTTTAACCGATTACAGGTTGCCAGACAGTTCGAGTATAAGTGGTCTGAACTTTCGATTGCTTCACATTCAACTGGGCTTGAGGAGCTTTAAAGTGAGGTAGCTACGTGTAAACCACTTTGTGGAATTATTTTCACTATTTCTCATGAAAACTAACCAAGTGCTCTAACTAACTTTGTTATATACAATCGGCTTTGGCTCACTGGAGGCTAGTTATAGTTGGTAAGTAAAGTTTTTGGGCTTAATATTTGAGGAATTGCATTGGTAAAAGAAAAAAGAATTGCGAAGTATTTGACGATTGCAACTCTAAAAAATAATTGTATGTCAGAATATGGATAGGATTTTTATATGTATTTTTTTGCCACTAAGTTTAAATTGTCATTTTACCCAAAAGCACAAACTGTGTTGTCAAATTATTTTGTAATTCTAACCCGAAATATTTGAAAATAAAAATCGTTACGTAAAAAATATATCACTTAAACCTTGCATAAAATAAGCAATCGAATTATTCACGTTTACAGAGGCTGTTATTATGTTAATTACGGAAGCGCCCAAGAAAAATGGACGACAACGTTTTTACGGTTCAAAACGCTGGTTTTCACCAGTTACCCTTTAACAATACCACATTGTTTATACAAACAAGCTCAGTTCCAGGAGCCTCCTTTTTGAGTTTTAGTATAATTTAAAATTATAATAGGTTTGTTATTATGTTGTACATGATAAGAATATTACACAAACTTGTGTGTTTTTTTAGTTTTTGAGTCATAGTTGGTACGGATTTCTTTAAGTTAAAGGTTTTGTAAGTGATTAATTTTTTGTAAGAATATAAATATATTTAAGCAACTAATTTGTTGTTTCATAGTTATTTACCTTATATAGTCATAGCACTCCTAAAGTAATAAAGTTGATTAAATGACGTAACATATACCCGTGGTTGTAAAAGGCAAATATAACAGTTGACGAAATAACCCGCCAAATATTTTTAATTGAATTATTAATTAATATTAATAACTTATTATTAATTTGTATTTTGTAATATAAAACCATCGTATCTTTAGTTGTTTTAGTAAAGTTCATAATAAAGGAGGTTAAATTATTGTTATTAGATTTTACTCAACTTGTAACTTACACAGCTCAAAGAATGGTGCATTTGTGATCTAAATTTCACCACTAAAGGGACAAAGAAAAGTATTTCTTGTAAAATTACAGCATTAAATATTTGCATATTAGTTTTATTTTACAAACACAAAAATTCCGATGAAAATAGATGAAATATTCGAGTACGTTTGTTTCGTCAACAAATTAATATTGCGACCAATGAGATTGTAGAGTACAAAGAATTTCTTATTAAAACAATCGCGATAACTATTTCGCTATAGAAGTGTTTGTCCTCAAAACATCTAAAATTTCTTTATGAAAATGTCTTATTAAAATTCAAATAACATGAGCACGTAGTAGTAGTACAGCATCTATCTAAGAGATCAATGCTGTACAGATATGTAATGTAATGATCTTAAATTTCCATGTAGTCAACATGGAAATTTAAGATCATTCACATCACTGGCTAATGTTTGTTATGACATCAGTAGTTCCATCACACACCATTCATAGCAAAGTGTTTAGGTGAAAATAAAATCGAAAAAATACTAAGTAATCTTTAGTTGAAGATGTTCTTACACATTCTCTTTATGTTTCAAATTGTTTTGATTTTGTATTCAATCATTGATAAATAAGACATTTAATTTGTACGTTGAAGCTGTAGACAGATGGGAAGTAAAAATGAGTTTAAATAACCTTTAGTTGTTTGTACCTTCCAATAACCGAATAGTGCAAACGTACTTTTTAACCAAAACCATGCTGGAATACAGCTTATCTTAAGCTTAACTATCGTAGGATCGAATATAAATATAAATAATTTAATTCTGACAGGAAGTACACTCTGATAGCACCCGACACATTTATTTTTTTAGAAAAATAAAGAAGTGTATGTTGATGAAATGTCTACTTTGAAAAATCCCAAATTGTAAGGTTTTTGTCTTTTTAAAGCTTATTGGGTTTCACGGCAGTTAAATATAAGTTGCCAAAGAGCTAAGAGATTTTACATTGGAGGAAATGTATCATAATTACGCAATCACAGTGAAGTAACTTAAACCTAAAATTTTCAAGTTTAATTTGCCCTTCGTGTGTTCCATAGGTCTATGATACTCTCCATGGAGGTTTAAAGTTTCAAAGCTTCTTAACGATGCCTCCTCCACTCAACGGGGAAATTCCTTTTGCTCGAGTCGGAATTAACCCCGACCAACACGCACTTCCATACTTTTAACATCATTATAAGTTTAACTGATTTCGGAGCGCAGACAGTTCAAACTTGGAACGGCAAACTCCAAATCGCATCACCTTCAATGGCTGTTTGACGAGCGAGTGCAGCCGACAAATTTATAACGAGGATAGTGGATTTACTTGAGCTATAGTGCAAGAAGTTAGTAGGAAGTTTTCTGAATGCTGTGAGTTTTAAGTAAATTATTTCTTAAGTTTCCATATCTTGTGAAGATAGCAATATAAGTCAGTTACAATTAAAAAATGTAGTTATGCTTAAAAACTGTCAATCTTTATTCGTGAGACTTTATGATCAAAATGACTTTATGATACTATAATGCCCTTTTCCTTCCACTTAAACTACCAAAGTAAATACAGAGTGTGGTGCATGGAATAAAAAACAACATGGATAATAAATTTGGATATATATCTACTACGATTGGCTTTGCTTTTCAGGTATGATTAAAATGAATATCGTAATTGTTTAAAACTTAAGTCCAGGTTTACCAAAGAAGTTGAAGAACGGAAATATTTTATTATATTTTAACAATAGTGAAAATCCATCAAATGCTTAATACGAAGCTATTAAAGCTATTACCTGCTTCGGCAGTACGTATAATAAAATTGGAAATATACAGAGATAACTAGCATGACCCCTGCCTAAGGATGACAAGTAAAATCGTGAAGTGTTCCACATGTTTATCATTTAATCCTCTTTTCACAAGTGTTGATGGAATTTTTGGGAATAAATTCCAAATTTTTTTAGGGTTATGGCTGAAGAATTATCATAATAATGGAAAAAAACCTTACAGTTTGGTAATTAATGGGATACGATCAAGAACAATTTGTGCAGTTTTAAGGGCAACAGGTTTGTGTATAACTAGAAAGAAATTGCGGTCAGCGAGGGAATTTGAAGATGAAGCTGGGATTCCAATTTTTTTTAGTGTAAAAATTAATTGTTGAATTCTGATAATACTCTACTTAAAAAAATCCCCAATATAATAAATTCCTGCATTACAAATACGAAGCTATTACGTAGTATTCTTTTGGGAAAATCTGGTCAAATTAAAATAGCAATTTGACATCCTGAAAAATTGCTTAGGTAGACCCAATAAAGAAGTTTTAGCCACATAGTTATAATTTCACTGTAAATTCTAATAGCATGGACTTATAACGTAACTGTGATAAAAACAATGTTCATTTTCATTACGTAAGACCAACCAACCACATTTAAATACCTAAAACCAATTAGAATCCCGGAACAAACGGAACAAAGCTTACGACAAAGTCAAAACACGATTCAACAATGGTCAGACGCGGTTTGTGGTTGAGTCAACCTTCAAATGAACTGACTTTCAAATCAAACTGCAAACAACTGCTTATATCAAGCAAAGTGCTAGGAGTTTGAACTAAATTGTTAATTCATAGTTTTTTTAGTTCTTTTTTTTGGCATTGTGTATTTTTTAGGGTTTCTAAACTTAATATCTAGAAAAAATCATATTGCTTTTTGAAAAAAAAAGGTGAGCTATGGGTTTTTGTAGATAATCTTATAGTTCATTGTTATATGTCGTTACAAAGAAAAAAGTAATTTTTGTAGCATATTTCCGGTTATCGAAAATTTAATATTGAGCCGTAATACTGGTTCGTTATTAGATGTGTTTTCCTACACTTTTATCTATTCTTTTTAACTATTTTATTCTTTTTTCAAAAAATCGTTTGTTTTTGTGAAGAGTTTTGATTTTGCCACTGTACATTTGAGGATATAAAAATACAATAAAATGATACTTTAGCTACTTTTTCTAGAAATTAATACAAATCGTTTGTTATGTTTTTAACATCATGTTTTGGTTTAAGCAAGCTTATTTAGCACATATACAGGGTGAATAAAAAGTCAAGACCCCCCCCTCTAATATTTTTCCAAGTAAATATACAGAAATATCGGTCGAGCAATCTTAGCAGGAAGTTTCATTTTATCATTTTGAAATTTTTGAGTGTCCCCCCAAAAGGGGGGCAACTCAAATATTTTAAATGTAAACCCCCTTCAAATGACACCTCATTTTGAAGTGTTAACAAAAACTTAAAGAATGGTGAAAACTAGAGGTCGCTATCTCTTCTCTATCCAAAATGGTAGCCCGTCAAATGTTGTGGAAAACCAACGGTAAAATTGTTAATATTGACTGCCATTTTGGATAGAGAAGGGATAGCGAGCTCTGGTTTTCACCATTCTTTAAGTTTGTTTAAGCACTTCAAAATGAGGTGTCACTTGAAGGGGAATAACATTTAAAATTTTTGAGTGTCCCTCAAAAGGGGGGATTCGGGGGACAACTAAAAATGTTTCAATAGAAACCCCTATCAAGTGACACCTCATTTTGAAGTGCTTAAACAAACTTAAAGAATGGTGAGAACCAGAGCTTGCTATCTCTTCTCTATCCAAAATGGTAGTCAATATTAACAATTTTACCGTTGATTTTCCACAACATTTGACGGGCTACCATTTTGGATAGAGAAGAGATAGCGACCTCTAGTTTTCACCATTCTTTAAGTTTTTGTTAACACTTCAAAATGAGGTGTCACTTGAAGGGGGTTTACATTAAAAATATTTGAGTTGCCCCCCAAATCCCCCCTTTTGGGGGGACACTCAAAAATTTCAAAATGATAAAATGAAACTTCCTGCTAAGATTGCTCGACCACCAAAAGGATATCTCTGTATATTTACTTGGAAAAATATTAGAGGGGGGGGTCTTGACTTTTTATTCACCCTGTATATTGCCTTCCTGTTGAGCACTTAACTATTTTATGTTATTTCGTAAATTAAGTGCCTTTAGTTGTATACATATTGCTTTACTTGTAAAAGTGAACTTGAAGAAACTGAAATTTTTTTATAAAAAGTGGCGAAAGAATGTATCAAAAAATCTTTAATTTTCAAAAGATAAGATCGTTACCTAATATAAATCTAATAACAAACTTCTTAAAATAGAAAATATAGAGGTTTTTCCACACGGTGATAACTTATTAAAGACAGAGCGAAAAAAGCTGAGTATGTCATATGTAGCGTACGAAGACTCTTTTATCTTGTGTTCTTTCAAAACATTAAAAGGAAATATTAAAGACATCCTTGAGGAATATAAAATGACCATAAGAAGAGACTTCAGTAAGAATTGCTAACTAGGGGATTTGTTACCAACCAAACTTCAGACAGCCAGCTAATTTTCTTTAGATTGAGTAATATTTTATTATGTCAACTCGTTGAAGATGAAGCTTTACGGGAATTTTCATACAAAACGCACTAAAACCTTTAAAAACTGTTTGTTGTCCTGTAAAATAAGTTTGTTAGTTGACTATTGAGTTTGTTGTGCTAGTTATTTATTTCATTTAATGTTTTTATTTTAAGATGTACGGAGTTTAAATTAGATATAAGTTTTTTCCATCCCCAAACAGTTCGTTTCTTTATTGCCATGCAGACCGTCTAAAATGAATAAATTGGATTTAGTCTTAACTGGTCAATAATTCATTATGTTGATGACTGATATAAGAGTTATTCATAATCAGTTTCTATTTAAAAACATGTAAAAAAAACATTTTGGTTCTGTGTTATCTTATTTTCCTTTTGCGGAACTGTAGAAACAAAGTGCTCACAATACTTTCTATAGAATATAAACATACCAAGGAAGTGCTGGTCGTAGAGTCAGCTTCAAAAACTGAAATCCACTTTATGCAGAATGCTCTAATTTATTAAATTATGAGCTGGAATATTGATTATACTGTAAAATATTTTAGCTTTACATATACTCGTATATACCTATAATTGATATTTAGCTGAAATAACAGTAATATTATATCATCTATCAACCATTTATCATTTACAGAGGACTACCAGATTAGCAAAAAAACTATTTGGTGGAACTTTTTTAAGTACTTTAAGTTAAGTTACTTCTAGATTTACATTCATGGACTATTTTTTTATAGTATATCCCTATAAGCAATAGCCTATTGATTTTAATAAGTAACTCCTTAAATATTCCCACATTATTATTGGACACTGCAATGTAACTTACTAAGATTTTTTACGTAATAGCAATGCAATGTTGTGCTTAAATTCTTTAAAAGAGTAACCTCAGTAAGACGTGTTTTTATTACACAGGATAACATGAACTGCATTTTTGGCAAATCTGTAGATGAATATGTGAAACTTCATTATCCTAATATGGATTGTAATGAAAATCATATTACGTATAATTGTGGATTTTTTAAAGCTTTCAACTTTTGAAGCTGAAGCTTGTACTCAAGCTTTTCAACACTGTACAATGTGGCTTCTCTTTGTGATTCACCGCAATTCCAGCAAGAGTTACTTTCGGGGACAGTCTGTGGGTATAAAGAGTGCGACATAAATACCAGATTGCAGCAACGACCATCAATGCCAAACATTCGGTCCTCGATGGACAGTCTGGCAAGAGATTCGCAACAGTGTAAATAATACGGATTATTTATAGTGGAACCAAACGGTGGATGAGATCAAAACATCGGTTGATTTATATTTGAAAACACACAAGTATGTGGTGAATATAAGAGATTAACATCATGCAACACCCATGTTTACGTGAAGCGCAGTTAATTGCAACTAAAAATATATATCATTCAACCAACATGTGGTAACTGTGTAGTGCCAGGCTGTTATCAAACATGAGCAACAAAATCTACATACATTTAAAATTTATTTTGTACACATTTTTCATATACATCTTGTAGACGTCAACAATCATTACAGCTAGGAAAAAATAAACAGATGCAAACACATAAAGTAAATATTTGCATAAGTATTTTCAACCACGAGATAATGCAATAAAAGACAAGGTCTTAAATAAAGTAAAAAATGGACAGTTGTAAAATGAGTTGGCCTCAACAAAGTTCTAGTTTTGCGGAAGGCAATTTGTTTTAAAGTTGACACAACTTGTGGCCGCACGCTAGCCTAGCTTACTGCTTCATATTGTGTTTACTATTCCATGAGCTGAAACAGTCAATTTTCATACAATTGAGGTGATCAATTACTTGTTTAATTGTAAAAGGAGTAACGAGAGTTTTATTATTAACGTTAAAGAACAATTGATACGTTTCATTTCTATCTCTTTACTTATGTTTTATTGCATGGTCAAGCCAAACGTTTACCCTAAACTATAACTCTCCAGAATACAAAAATGATTACGTACAAAATTTCATCATAATGTATAGCACCAGGTAATTCCAGTAAGATGAACCAGCTATCTATGACCACGACTTTTGAAAGGTCGTCTAGCTAAATTCACCCCCTTCTTTGTTCTATAGAAACAAGTGAAATAATTGTAAAAGCTGTAAGGATTACAGCATATCGTTAATTTTAATAATGCGTAATAAAATCCATTTTTTGCTTCTCTACCCCTATATATTCTTTCTTGACTATCCATGTAATTTTACTGGACATTTAGTGATGACGAACAAGCCATAAACCATCTTTTACCTTTAGGGAAGCTACAACAGCAAATATTTTGTTCAGATCCCTAATAGAAAGGGAGTTCGCTATTCTTATAAGACATCTTTGGTTTTTGCACTTTGTATGCGCACCTACCACGCTGCACCTCCGCTAGTTCTTAGTTACTATATTATATCGATAATCAAATCGCTATTGTTGCTTTATGTTGGACCGACATTTATGTAGAACCAAACCTCC